TCTCGAAGGAGTAGTGCAGGCCTTGAAGAAAGCTTGCGGACGGTGCAGAACGAACCCAGTTGATGACGGTACAGGTCTTCACACGGACGGTGAAGAGGTAACAGGAGCTAGTACGTGCGTGCCAAACCGGCCCCGCGACGTTACTGAGTAGAAGGCGGCGAAGAACTTGAAGAGGTGCACCGAAGCGCGCCGATCCGGCCCCGCTCCGGTGCTGCCCGCAAAGGCGGAAGGCCTCGAGGGTGTCGAGGAAAAACGATGCTAGTGCCCCGGAGCGTGCCGAACCGGCCCCACTCCGAAGCTGCCCGCAGCGGCGGAAGGACTGACAGGTGTCAGGAAAAGGCAACAGAACGTGCCAAACCGGCCCCGTTCTGTTGCAGCCCGGCAAAGCGGAAGGTTGGTTGAGCTTGAAGCTTGTTGCTTGACGTAAGAATCGCGTCGTGGCGGAGACCCGCTCTTGACGCGGGATGATGGCCAGGGCATGTTTTATTGCGTTTAGCATCAGGTACCCGGTCGCCGGGTGACTTGAAAACCACCGTGTGCAGGACATTCCTGACCTTTTCGACGTTCTGAGGCGAACCTAGGAGGTACCTAAAGTCGAAGGCCTCAAGTCCGTCGTTTTTGGACAAGAGGCCCGCGCGCATCAGAAGAGTTCGCAAGTGGTACCTATAATTACGCAGAGTGGCCTTCGACATGTTTACCAACATGATTTCTACCGTCATGTGGCGGCTGTAAGGTCCTATGCGCGATACGGACGGGGCCAGGACCCGCTCCGCATGAGTCAAGTACTTTTTTGTTCTCGCTTTGGAGGTGGCGACGCGAGGCGCTTTGCCCTTCTGAGCTCCCCGCCCCTCATCGCTGGGGGCGGCACCGCCGCTTGGGTCGCCAAGATCGTCATCGCCCGGAGGGTCGCCACGAGCGGTGGGAGCCGAACGGGACGGCGTTGAGGATAGGTTCTGAGTACCCGGCTGTTCAGTACCTTTGTCGGAATCGGAACTGCTTTATTTGGGTGAGACTAAATGCTTACTTCGAAATCTAAGCTGCGTTGCGGCATTGGCGGTTATGTGCGGCGTGTATGCCGCATGATTAGTAAGCGGCGACCACTAAATTAAAAATTCAATAGCTTTGACCTGTTTTCAATGGATAACACTGCATACCAAAAATGTCCATCGCTCTCGTCATAGGATATTTAGATTTAAATAACTAACTTATCTACATCATTGTTTTGAACCAAATTAATACTCAGCCGCGAACGTATAAGGTATAACCCCTTGCCGTTTCGCTCCTGATCAAGCTAGAGCTTCGCGGAAAAAACGAGCGTGTTGCCCGTGACGAGAGAAAGCCGATGATACCCAATTTTAAGGTCCTAGGTCATCGGTTGACCTTCCAGGTCAGGTCAATGACCCAAAAGGCGGGAAAATTGGGACCTATTAGAACGTCGTAGTGTGGCTGCTATGGGGTTTTCGGGGTGCGGATCACGAATATCATGCTAGTTTTGATCACAGATGATGTCTTCATTCATTTAGGCCAGGTCGGTTTAGGTCAGGTCAGGTCAACCAGTAGAGGTCCTGCCAGGTATTTGTAGTAGGTGTCAACCGCCTCTGACAGCCTCGTAACATGTTACGAAGGCACCAAAACTACTTTGTAAACGTTCATGTGGTTGCTTAACCCTCGCCCGTATAGGGGGGGGGGGGTCGAACGGACCCCCCATGGTTTTTCGCGAATAATTCGCGTAAAAAGCGGTCGATCGCGACGAAACTTTCAGTACCCTCGCGATCATCAATTTCACACCTACCCTGAAAATTTCATGACCCTGACCCAAATGACCTTTGACCTGTGACCTACTTTTCGAGACCATGTTTGGCTGGAATCGCGATGCGGCGTATGTCGGCTCGCATTAGCCGCGCGTTTGCAGTCTTTTCGTGGTTTCAAGCGTTCAAACATATGATATGATGTTGCCCCCATGCATTAGGGTGGGTGTCAAGGTCACCTGAAGGTCAGGTCAGGTCATTGACCTTTGATGACCTCGGTTCAATTTTTCGAGTTTTACATGTTTCTAGGCCAGTTTTTTGGAGCTGAATTGGAATTTAGCAACCATATGAACATTTACGAAGTAGTTTTGGTGCCTTCGTAACATGTTACGAAGCTGTCAGAGGCGGTTGCCACCTACTACGAATACCCTTACTGGTTGACCTGACCTGACCTGACCCGACCTGGCCTAAATACATGAAGACATCATCTGTGATCAAAACTAACATGATATTCGTGATCAGCAACCCGAAAAACCCCATAGCAGCCACACTTTACGACGCTCTAACAGGTCCCGATTTTCCCGCCTTTGGGGTCATTGACCTGACCTGCAAGGTCAACCAATGACCTAGGACCTTAAAATTGGGTATCATCGGCTTCCTCTCGTCACGGGCAGCACGCTCGTTTTTTCCGCGAAGCTCTAGCTCGATCAGGGGCGAAACGGCAAGGGGGGTCCAACGGACCCCCCCCCCTTATACGTTCGCGGCTGGAAAAACACCAATACGGGCGAGGGCTAACCCTATTAGTGGCAGGGGGGGTTGTTTTATCCACCCCTCAGGTTTTTCGGGAATATCTCCGAAACCGCTGAAGCTACGATGCTGAAATTTTCTGACTTTTCCTAAAACTAAATTGGGCACATTCCCTGAAAATTTCAAGTTCATAACTTTACCAGGGGCGGCTCCAGAGCACTGGGAATTGGGGGTCCTATTCGTGAAGCGAGTCATTTGGGCGAAGATCACGATGCTGCACTCAGTTTTACGAACAGTGAATGAAAGGTATCATGTGATAACATATACAGTTATTGTGCATCCTCTTTTGACACGTTTTTGCTATAATAGGCGGATCCAGGCGTCCAAAAAGGGGGGTTATGTTTTACCTCCCAACATAGGTGCCCTGACACCGCCTATGCATGACCAATACAATTGTAGTCGTTCTCTCATAAGAAAATTGTAACATAACAAGACCATTACCACCCTTTTTAGAAACAGTACCAACAAAAACCTTATTTACTATACTTTTTGTGTACCCCCAATCTCAATGATCTGTACCCGCCTATGATTTTTGAAAATGCATATTTTTAGGATCCATGTGAATTCCTGGTTCATTCTCTATCGATCGGCAAAAGTTGCGTTAAGATTGGTTCAGAAACCTGGCCGTGATAAACAGTCTAAAATGTATCTGCAATTTGCCCGTTTTTACCCCCCTCTACCCCCCCCTATTGACATTTTTTAATTTTTATTTTTTAGAAATGTAGATCACGTTGAGCGAAATCGAATGCCGTTTGAATTTTGAAAATCGGCCCGTTAGATCTCGAGATATCAAGGGGGGTCGTAAACAGCCCCCCCCCTGCCACTAATAGGGGTATACCAGGAGCCTGCCACTAATAGGGTTAATTCGAATTCAGCTCGAAAAACTGACCTAGAAACATGTTAAACTCGAAAAAGTGAACCGAGGTCACCAAAGGTCAATGACCTGACCTGACCTTCAGGTGACCTTGACACCCACCCTAATGCATGGGGGCAACATCATATCACATGTTTGAACGCTTGAAACCACGAAAAGACTGCAAACGCGCTGCTAATGCGAGCCGACATACGCTGAATCGCGGTTCCGGCCAAACATGGTCTCGAAAAGTAGGTCACAGGTCAAAGGTCATTTGGGTCAGGGTCATGAAATTTTCAGGATAGGTGTTAAATTGATCAATGCGAGGGTACTGAAAGTTTCGTCGCGATCAGCCGCTTTTTAAGCGAGTTATTCGCGAAAAACCTTAGGGGGGTTGCATCAACCCCCCCCCCCCTGTGCGGGCGAGGTCATGTTTTGATAGCAAGACTGAAACAGACTTTTTTGGGTAGCCAGGAAATCGCATGCCAGAGCCTATTCAAATTCTTTTATCGGCCTTTATATGCACCAGTCGCATACAGGTACGGGATTTAGCATACGATTTCCAGACAATCGAAAGACTGTTTGGAGACAACAAAGGAAGGAATGAGTGAGTTAAATTGCAAGTATTAATTTGGTTCAAAATGATGATGTAGATAACCTAGTTATTTAAAGCTGAATATCTTATGACGAGAGCGGTTGGCATTTTTGGTATGCAGTGTTATTCATTGAGAACCGGTCGGAGCGTTTGAGTCTTTAATTTAGTGGTCGCCGCTTACTAATCATGCGGCATACACGCCGCACATAACCGCCAATGCCGCAACGTAGCTTAGATTTCGAAGTAAGCATTTAGTCCCACCCCTTTATTTTCACAGGACGTTTAGCTACGACGATTGGCTATGATATTTTTGATATCAATGCTCTGACGTAGGCTGTCGGTGAGTTTAACCCTGCACTTTCTACTGGAGGGCACGTCTCCCGATGCTGGTTTTCTTCCCCTGAATCCTCACACAGTTTGTTACTGTTTTTTTTTCTGTATTCATCATAAAGAGCAAGTAAATGGTCACACTCGTCTGGTGTATTCTTTAGTTCGACTCAGTATCCCCCCCCCCCAGCAGGACGTGGAACCTGCCGCACCTCAACGGCGCGCGGGTTAAAGGAACTCATAGCACATCCGCATACACTTTAAAAAACATGGACTTTCGTCATGTGTGGAACCTCACTGCCAAGGCAAGGACACTGCACTTTTAGAAACATACACCAAATATACCTCACACAACAACACTCAGAACGCACCAACCCTCCCTGCCACAAGTGAACACTTAAAAAAGTATCACTAAAACATACACTAACAAATGATCGCACTCCAAAACACGTCGACCCTCTTTGCCAAAAGTGAACACAAAGTAAACAATACCGCAAACATGCACTTACAAGCATGCACCTGCACTGCACACTTCCCCACTCTGGTAGTCACTTAAAAAGAGAGGGGAGTCCTAGGCGCTCTCGCTTCTTTAGAAACTGCGACGCCGTGCGCTTAAAGCCATAGGGGCCGTAGGCCTCCTTCAGTGCCAGCACTAGCGCCCTCGTAGAGGCAAACGGGAGCCCGGCGGAGCTCACCAGGGTGACCCTAACGGACTCGTGCCACAGAAGGATGGCCAGATCCGCTGGACTCCAGCGGGCGAGCCGGCTCTGAGCGGAGGCGCCCCTGGTCGGCGGCTGGTAGGTCGCGTCCGGCTCCAGGCCCAACTCCGTGGCCCGGACATCCTGGTAAAAGGGCATAATTGCCTCTACCACCCGGATGCCGGTAGCCACCTCCGTCACGGCCACAGGTCCAGTCGGCAGCCGCAGCGGTGCCTGTAAATGAAACGAGATGCTGAGATAATTATAATGAATTGCCGCGTGCCTGTCCTTTGCATGAGCGGACACACATATATCGGATGACACCGTCAGCAGACAGGACAACAACGTTTGCGAAATAACACAACACCTGGATAACTGCAAAAAAAAAAACGAAACTGCGACGTTTACCCACTATTTCAAGCTCAGCACCAACATGCTTTTCAGCTCACCTGCTGGGCCGATGACGGTCCCGGCAACGGCGCCGCCTGGGAAACGGCCAGTGGCCATTCTTATCAAGAAAAGAACGGAGGGACGCTCCGTCATTTGAGATTAGACGGAATTTGGTTATCATCAGGCCGGCCCACGAAGGGCCCGGCTGCGGCTCCCGGGCCGGCGCTGGTCCGGTAGCCGACGGAGCCGCCTGGGGGACGGCCAGTGGCCATTCTTATAAAGAAAAGAACGGAGGGACGCTCCGTCCTTTCTGAGATTAGACGGAATTTGGTTATCATAAAAGGACGAAGACGAAAGACGGAACCCGTTAAAAGAACGAAGCCAGATTGACGCTACCCCCACCCAAAAGGACGCGTTTCCGTATCATAAAGAGACAAAGACGCCCCTGGTGACGTAAGACTTTGCGTTGTTCGTGAAAAATAACGCATCAGAAATAGCGCTGCTCTTCAGCAGCGCTTTTTTACGGTATTGATACGATATTTAGCTAGTTGCGAGAACAACTTGTGCGAAATGTGTTTCAGGCTGCGTGCTAATCGATATGTGAACTGTATGACATTGGTCGGGAGTTATTTCACACGAAAATTAGTCAATTTCACATGCAGACCAAGTACCTATAGACCGCCACCTTATCGTTCTGCAGCTATCGTTGTTTATCGGGCATACACATTAACAGGCAGGATTGGACACCTTGAGATGCAATATCCAGTAAGTGGTAGGTGTTTACTGTTTGCAACTGCCTCCCAGTAGCTCCACCCTCACCTGGCCTGTGTCCTGTGCAGTGTTGCCAGGTCTAGAGGTAAACCTCCAGATCTAGAGGTTTTAGGGGACCGTTTCGGGGCTCCTGGAGGTTTATGAAAAATGCCGGATTCTAGAGGGTTTTCTAGAGGTAATCTGAAAATGCGAGAAAAGACAATTAGCATCAAAGTCTCTTGAGAACTATTTAGGTACATAATTTCATGTTATTATCCTTAAAAATTCCATGCTTAAACACACTTTTTACAGATTGATGGAAACGAAAAACCTACTATTGGCTTGTTCACTATTGAGGCTCTGGCCGCCGGCTGCAGCTAAAAGTTCTCGATATACCGTGGGCACCGTGGGCATCAAGGCTATGTATTGTAAACGTGGCTGGTGCCCACGGTGGGCACCAAGTCCACCAAGTTCTGTGGACAAATGCGAAGGCGTGCGAAGGATGAGTGAATTGTCTTGATTGGGGATACAACCGGGTCTTTCAAAGCCTGCTGCCAGCTGCTGCCAGCGCGCTGACGTCACACTTTGGGTCTGTTCCAGTCGCACTTCCTAACACCTCTAAACTCCTCCAAGAGCAAGATAGAGGAGGCTGGAGCAGGACCCTCCTTTGATTTGTAGGGGCTAGAGCTGACACTGGAACAGGGAAGCAATCTTGGAGGAGCTTAGAGGTGTTAGGAAGTGCGACTGGAACAGACCCTTTGGCAGTGTTGGAGCAATGGGCTTGATGATGTCATCACGCGCTGGCAGCGGATGGCAGCGAGCTTTGAAACAGCGCCACGGTTTGTGATACGGAGGTAGGTATGGAGGTACCTATATATATGTTACAGGCAAAGTGAAAACTCGGGCATTTTGCAAAATGCCTAGGCAATTTGCAAGATGCCTGACTGGCTAGGCATTTTGCAAAATGCCCAGGCAATTTTCAAAATGCCTGACCGGCCAGGCATTTTGCAAAATGCCTAGGCAGTTTGCAAACTGCCTGGCCCACCAGGCATTTTGCAAACTGCCTGAAATTATTTTCTCATGCAGTTTGCAAAATGCCTGACATCGAACTCACACCAGCGACGATGCGTAAGCATCATTGTAAGTGCCGCCAACAGGGGTTAATCACAAGCGATACGCACCAAGTGGGAGGACACACAGTGAGACATTCTCCGGGTAGCGCTGCCGAGTTCAATGTCACTGAACCCCAGGCAGCGCGAGCGGCCCGGCCGCCGCGCCGCACAGTGGGCTGATATGCCATTCTAGCGCGACGGGGCCTGAATCTTCGAACGGAACCCTTGGTTTTTCGCGAGTAATTCACATAAAAAGCGGCCGATCGCAACGAAACTTTCAGTACCCTCGCGATAATTACTTTTACAGTTAACCTGAAAATTTCATGACCCTGACCTTAATGATCTTTGACCTGTGACCTTCTTTCGAGACCATGTTTGACCGGCATCGCGATTCAGCGTATGTCGGCTCGCATTAGCCGCGGGTTTGCAGTCTTTTCTTGGTTTAAAGCGTTTAAACATGGGGTATTATGTTGCTCCCATGCATTAGGGTGGGTGTCAAGGTCACCAGAAGGTCAGGTAAGGTCATTGACCTTTAATGACCTTGGCCCACTTTTTCGAGTTTTACATGTTTCTAGGCTAGTTTTTGGAGCTGAATTCGAATCTAGCAACCATTTGAACATTTACTATGTAGCTTTGGTGCCTTCGTAACATGTTACAAAGCTGTCAGAGGTGTTGCCACCTACTGCAAATACCCGGCAAAACCCTTACTGGTTGACCTGACCTGACCTGACCCGACCTGGCCTAAATGTATGAAGACATCATCTATGATCGTAAATAACATTATATTCGTGACCAGCACCCAAAAAACCCATAGCAGCCACCCTTTACGACGTTCTAACAGGTCCCGATTTTCCCGACTTTTGGGTCATTGACCTGACCTGGAAGGTCAACCGATGACCTAGGACCTTACAATTGGGTATCATCAGCTTCCTCTTGTCACGGGCAACACGCTCGTCTTTTCCGCGAAGCTCTAGCTCGATCAGGGGCGAAACGGCGGGGGGGGGAGGCAACGGACCCATTCTATACGTTCGCGGCTGGAAAAAAAAAACACTAGGGGCGAGGGTTAAGCCAAATGTGAGGGCTTATTTCAGACAGACTGCTAAAAGAGCAACTGAATGCACTTTTCGCGACGATGTAGCTCTATTGGTCCCCGAGGTAAGAGCCGGTTTTCGAGAAATGTTGATATATGCAACATTTTACCTTTGATGACCTCTGGTGACGTGACCTTTGACCTGACGTAGAAATGACTAATTACTCCATCTGGAATTTCGGGCGCTCTTTTGAATGCCACTTACTACGTGTCGCTATGTGGCCTAAGAGCCGAGTAAGAAGGGGAGTGTTCAATCAACATCTCCCGGCCCGGCGCGTTTGACGCCGAGCACCGGTCCGGCGCGGGTTGATGTTTGGCTGCTACATCCAAAGTCGCAAAAAGTCGCAAAAAATGACTGTTGGATCTTGTAGTGCAATGAATCATTGACATGTAGCGAGATTTTCGAAGCGGTACTCCGCGGTACTATTTGTACTACCAATACTACCAATGCATACTATTAAAAGTCTATTTGTGTGTGACATCAATTATGTGAAATAATATTTTCGTCTTTAAATCTTTGCGGTGCCAATACATCATAACCAAGTAAGAGTTCGCCATTTTCATGTGGTTATGTGTGTTCTGCAGACCCGGAGCTATCGTTTGATGTATATAAATGTGGAATTCCTCCTCAAATTGTGATTGTTTTCGTGGATCAAAGATACGTTGTCGAAGAGTGCGGGGGACGAGTTCGGTCCAAATGATTCCGAAGTTCGTGTTTAAGCTGAGTTTTCGCCATGAAATAGCAATTGTGTTGGAAAACAAAGACCACAGCAATGTAGTATGATCATTTTTGGACAAATTGGTATAGGTTTCATTGCACATCCACAAAGTTCGATTTTTTTACCCATGTCGTGCTAGACCTGGCGATCGGCCCAGTGTGCGCCGGCTACCGGGCGCCCGGCGCGGTTTTATCGGTAAACACGCGTTTAACACGGTTATGTTTCTAAGAGCCTTAATGACTCTGGAAATACTTTGTGTGGATATTGATCAGAAAAGAATATTCTTTCGATGTATGGTAGCTTGGTTGGCGAGCCACACGTCTACATTATCAATGCATTGTGACTGTGTAAAGATGAACATGCCCGTTGCATGTAAAACTTGTAATTTATAAGCGTCTTTTTATTACAAAGGTGTGCACGTGGGTCGTGGATGACCAAAAACTTGCTTTTCTGGAAAAGCGGAAAAGCCACATGTTCTTGTTGTCTATGGAATGTATCTCATCTCATTCCAATGCATTGCCATTGTTTCTTAAATGCTGTTTTTCCTTAAATGTACCAAAAATGGCTGATTTCTCAAGATATAGACTGTGGTGCCGCGCAGCCCACCGGCACATTATTTAGTTGCGGCGTCTCCGCCCAAGTGCGCTATTGTTTTGTCGCGTGTGCGCAAATACTGTTTCCTTTTCAAGTACCTTCTGATCTCGTTTTTAGTATTATATTTAAATCGTATTATCTTCGCTATTGTCTTAAGATTATATAATGTTACTTGCATTCTAAAATAAGTTTATTGTGCTTTAATTGGCGTAATTATTTCGTTGTTTTCTGTAAGCCCGTTTCTATCTTTTATCTAAAATAGTTTGTGTTTCTGGCACTGTCGCTTCCGCTCCGTTGTTATTCCGGCTCTCGTTACACAGTTGTTTCACATCTCGATATATCTACGCTAAATATAGCTTTTCTACAGTGCACAGTGGCGTCTGACAGGCTGAGTATTCGCGCGAGCTTTCCTCACGTTTTTCCTTAATTTTTACCGCTGATCTCTCGTTATCTCGCTTACCTAAACATTGTCTTTCGTCCCACGTGTCATTTTGGCAGAACAATCATTTTCCTTCCAATCACAGAGCACGTAGCCCTTACCTGACCACTTCATAACTGGTGACCTGCCCGACGTGATTGTTTTGCCTGCTTTTCCTGTGCTTTTGTTGTCATTTTTTTTGTCTGTTTTGTTGATTGACCTCCCCACCTGCTCGTCGTGATGCCTGACCCTGTTGATGATGGCCGTGCCCTCTCCGGTGACACTGTTGTCCCTGTGACTGGGGGTGCAGCAGCAGCAGCTGCTCCAACTGACTCTGCCGCTGGTGCTGTCCAGCACGTGTCAGTGAAGCCACCAGCCTTCATGGAGACGGCTGTCCAGGGCTGGTTCGCGATCATGGAGGCCCAATTCCATGTGGCCAAGATTACCAGCGACACCACCAGGTTCTACCACGTCCTGGCTGCCCTTCCGCCCACCACAGTCTCCAAGCTTGACACATCAGTGCTTGGTTCGAGCAGCTATGCAACCCTGCGGGATGCTGTGTGCTCCCTCTATGAGCGGACTAGGTCTGAGCTATTCGATCAGCTCATCAGCAAGGTCCAACTGACCGGACGGCCTTCTCTTTTCGTCAGAGAACTACAGGAGATTGGCTGCAAGGTGGGGGTCGGCGACGACCTCGTGAGACACAAGTTGCTCCAGAGCCTGCCGCCCACCGTGGGAACTGTCCTCGCAGCCCAGCGGGACCTCACGCTCCACCAGCTGGGCAAGCTGGCCGATGAACTGATGCCTCTGCTTCAGACGTCCTGCTTAGCAGCAACTGCCCAGCCTCAGCCGCCCTCGACCAGTCAGCAGCAGCACCAGTGGGACCATCGTCCTGCCGCCCGATCCAGTGGCCGCAGTCGGGATGGACCTCTACCTGCTGCCAGCTCCACTCCACGAGGCCTGCAGCCATTCTACAGAGACCAGCGACCACAAGTCTGCAGGGCGCACCTGTACTTCGGCCAGGA